TTCAAAACTTGTGTATAAACAAGTTATACTAACAACTTACTATGTCATCTCTGTTCTCGACAGTCTACTTAAATTAATGTGAACCCAAATGATTAATGTTAATTCATTAAGTTCTTGTAGTTAATTAGTATATAATTTATAGTTAGGGTAGATAACATTGAACTTTTTCTAGTTTGGATAATAAATTATATATGAGTAAGTTTATTACTTTACACATCTGGTAAGATTTGCCACATATATATTTCATGACATTCTTAACTAATTATTGGAGACATGTTGATCAAAAGTGTAACATGTAATATATTATAAGGATATTATTGACTTTTCACACTTTTTACAAAATCAAAGTAATAAATTCATATGTAATTTATTAAAATTTCAAGGAATGTGAGTGTACCCTAATTTCTTTCTAAGGACTTTGTTGGTAAATAATCATGATTTAGATATTAAATTGGAAAATTGAAACAGTTGGAAGTGTGGAGCCCACTTAGGAATCTTCATCGAGAAAGTGTTTTGCACGCCCATATAGCACGTGTAAGATTCACATCCCATTGGCTCACTCTGACAGTACTAAACCACAAATCCTCCATCAAAATTATGTGATCCTTCCTTCGTACAAGTAACCAATTAAACTAATAGTCCCATCTCACATTGCACATATACATTTATAATATAGTACAATCGCATTTAAACCTAATATCCACCGTATCTAATTAAATAATTAATTTTCTCATATATTAATAAAGTTCGAAACCACTGTAATACATTGTACCTAACGAAGCATGTGCTCTACACGTGTGGGTGAATTACAACCTCTGCAAGTGAGTTGAAATCAATCACAGTAAAAGAGGGGAGTTCGAGCCCGAATGTGGATAAAAAGAAGTGTATATTTGTTTTACTATTAAAAAAAATTGTTTGGTACGATAAAGGACTTGTGAAATTGTGACTCGAATTTGTTTTGGTTCGAAAAAATTTATACTTTTTTTTTTTTTTTTTGGTTGTAGACTCAGTTTAAGATTTATAGTGTGTAATGAGAGAATAAAGAGAAAAGGAAAATTTAGAAGTTGAAATTTGTAATATTCTCTTATTTATCGTACAATGAAATCTTGCTCTTTGCCTTTGAACCATACGAATATTTGTGTTTTTTGCTTCGATTTCTTGATTGCTTTCCTAGTTTCAATGTACTGTATTCTTGTAACTAGTTTCGATTTTTTAATAAAAGAGAAACATAATTACTTTTCTAATAATGGAGAGTATAAAACTTTTGATACCCAAATTTTTTTTAATCATGGAAGTGTTTAATTATGTGGGCTATATTTAAAAAAACAAAAGAAAGTGCAAGTGAAGTATAAAAATGCAAAGTGGAGAGTTATTATTATACTAATTCTTTGTTAATATGTATGAAAAAAGGGATTAAGATAATGATAGGATGCAATCAGTCACACAATATAAAAATGTATCTATCTGGAAATCAATGAATGAGATCACAGGCACATCTCTTGGTGGGTAGCAGGTGAGATTCTGATTCTGGAACACCCAAATCTTGGATGCATCAATGGCCGTTGGAAACACTCCTAACGCATGACGAAATCAGCTACTACTATTGATTAAGGTTCGTGCCTTTGGTCTGTCATGTTTCCATATACTGACACGAGTCTGGGTCCCACTTCCTTTTTTTTATTTTCCTCTTTGTTTTTAGTTTAATGGAGTGTATATATATATACCATATAGAACTGTCTGTATATAATATATATACACACACACACACGTATACATCATATCATATAGCAAAGGTCCGTGGCGTGACATTATTTACATAGTGACTGAGGTTGATTATTTCCATTATTTAAGTTAATTTATACTGTGGGAAGAAATTTTTTATTTTTTAAGTGGTGTTTTGTCAATATGAATTGTATGACTTTAACTCTTTAGCTTAATTAATAATCTATCCCATCGTGTGACAAGCAAACAAAATTCTCACTATCTTAATAATTGCTTTGACAAAACAATCCCTAAACATGTCAAAACATGTAAAATCAGAAGCGCTATATGATCTAAGCAAATAAATATATAGAAACAACGATATCAAGCACTTGAATATATATATATATATATATATATATATATATATATATATATTTGTTGTTGAACTTATCAAGCATAATGGACATTTTTTTTTTTTTTTTTAACAGAAAAGACATATACTAGTAGATTAACTATAGCACATAATTGAAGGTTGAACCAACACAAAATCAGCTACCAAACTTAAAATTTTAAATTGAGTAATAAAAAAATTTTAGTTAACTTGTTTTATCGGTTGCCTCTAAATGTAGTTTTTGCGGTCTTAACCTAATCATAGGAGGGTTGTGTGACGCCTCCACATCATTTCGGAAAGTAATTATTGATATTTTTATGTGTGGACACCTCCTAATTATATAAATATTGTTTTAAAAAATTTGAATACGAAGATATACAAAGAGGACAAAATCTACACAATACGGGATTCTAGGAGAATGAATCAAGTGTGTTTTATACTCAATATCACTTGAATCACCATTTTTTATTACATTTAGAAAGTCTTCAATGTTGGAGAAAGGCATAATTCTCATAGCGAGACATAAGTTTTGCAAACTGTGAACACAAGAAAAATATAAAAGTACTGTTACAAAAATCGACCAGTTTTTATGAATTACCCCCAATAAATAAAATTCAATAAGAATTCTTGTCAACTCTTCAAATGAATGAAAATACTTTTCGAATTATATATATCAATTATTAATTATCACACCAATTCGATGGTATAGTCGAATAAAAGTTGTCGTCAATTATATCATTTTTTTAAAGTATAAAGCTTTGTGGTTCCGTTGTTCCACTTGTTTGGACATTGAAAGGCCAGACCCCCAACATAGGATCCTTGATTAATTGTAACCATGAGCCCAACTTGGGAACAAAGGGGTCCGCATCTGGCAATTACTCCAACCAGTGAATGGGGTCCAACACCCAAGTCCGGTCACTGCAGATTAGGGTCCCAACCCCGCGCTCGAAGGGCCAGCATGATAGGGTCCTCAATAAGAGAAATACTCTTCACCTATTATCATACATGGTATTTAGTATTTACTGCAGTATCACAAACAACCAAACATAGTGAAATGCAATAAACCCAAACAAAACAAAAAACACACACACACACACACACACACACACACACACACACACATGGTAGAAAACAATAGCCTTGATTAAGTTTTGGGCCCTTCAGGGGGTAGACCTTGATTGTGATGTGAAGTGGCCTTTGATGGTGAATGAAAACAAGGCTAATTGTTTATTTCAAAAGGTACAAGCACTAGTGGGACCCATGCTGTCCCCACCACCACTTATTCTCAACCGTCGAATGTGCACTCATCACAGACTTTGATTTTCTTAACCCCCCTCCCACAATTGCCTAATTATTTTTGCTCATTTCAAACTAATCCCATTTTGCAATCAATTATGTACACCTAATCAATTGATATTGTATATCTATATATTTTCAACCGGTCAATATCTAGCCACGTGGCATTGATGGAGACCCCTTTTGAGTGGGACCTACATTTATTGGCAGTGTCCATGTCTCGGCCCTTGAAAGGACCAGTTCAGATGAATATAATCAAGTCAAACAAGATTGAGGTTTAGTGAAAAGAATGAAATCTGATGCGGATAATCTTTGATGGTGTAATCAATTTTTGACATATGTATAGTAAAGTTTATTTTTATTTTATTAATTTTTTTTTCTTTTTTTATTATTTTTTATTTATCAACATGGTTGTGTCATAAAGTAATCTTTATTACAAGACTGAAAAATGAGACAATTCTTTGAAAGTGGTTCTCAGAAAATTCAACATGAAAGCAAAATAATTTTTGTAAATATTTTATTTATCAATTCTAAAAAACGAGTGATCTCATCCTAATCATTTGTCTTATTCTCAAACTCATGAAATCTCTCTCCATTTCTTGATATTCTAGTTATTATATATTTTACTTATTTATAAAAAAATTTAGAAGCAGGAATACGGATAAAGGACAAGTATATAATGCAACACGGACATGATGATTAAACATAATTAAAAAAAAAAAAAAAAGACACAAATGTAATATGAATACTTTAAAAAGTAATAATATAATATATTATTCTACATATATATAAATAACTTTTTCTTGTTTTATACTTTTAATTATGAATGAAATCACTAAGTTGGAACTTATTGATAGATGTTTGTTATTTTCTGTTTTTAAAAATGTTATACTCGTAATTTTTCAAATTGAATTTAATCCCATTCTCGTAAAAAAATAATAATTATAAAATTATCCGTAATGTCCTGAAAATGTCTAAAAAAATGATAATAAATATTTAAATTTCAGAACGATATTAGTTGTGCTCGTTAAAACACTGTCTGCTAAAATAGTTATGTTTTTTGAAGGCATTTCTAATAACTTTATCACACGTTTAATTTTGATTGCTTTATCCGACTGTTGACATGGGAGTGTGAGTGAAAATGAAAAATAGACTATCACATTACACACTAATTTCCTTCTATGTTCCCCTATCTAATGCTAAAATTGTTCAAACCCATAATCATTTGTATATACGTTGTGATCAATTCACTAACATTTAGCTGTTGCTAGTAAATTATATATATATGAAATGAATCGCAACTGAAATTACCACTGACAGGTGAATCTAATGTCCACATCAGCTAAAATCATGTGTGGGGAGACTCCTTTTTGACTGAGTCACTTTTCCTTCTAGTAATTCGCACGTGTCCCAACGCGCCTGATCACGCGCGTGGCTCTGCACTCCCGCCAATTGCCTTCCATTTACATTTTCGTGCCTGTCTTCTATTCTCACCAATATATGTTTGTCCTGATTGTAGCATTATGAAATGCAGACAAAATGAACCCCAAATTCAAATGAAATGAAAGTGGGGTCCTCTGTGGAATCTTCAATTCTTATATATACAAGCGTTCGCTTCATGGATTACTTATGTTAAGACGCAGTTCTAATGGAGCTATAGTCACAAAAACTATATTATATATATATATACACGAATATATCTCTATATATCATATATGTATTAGATGTATATATATTTGTGACGTCGGTGACCGGAGGTTTTGGTGATGATACATGGCGAAAGGTCGGAAACTGACAACCAGCCGGAGCGAGCGCTTGTTGGGTAGCTATAGTCACGGTCACGGCCAAGGGGCGGTGACGGAAGGATCGGAGCTGGGCGAAGAAGATGTGTGGTCAATGGTTGACGACATGGTCAACGGCGATGATCATTCCATGAACGGCTCGCACAGCGAGTGGAGTCCACGCGACACTCCTGAGAGTAACGGAGGCGTGAGTGTCAGGAGCCGCCGGGGCGTTTCCCGGGAAGACCGCCACGTGGGTGGGCTGTCTCTGGCGTTTGACAATTCGGGAAAAACGGCGTCGTCTAGGATCGTGCACCAGTATCGGAGCCAGGACAGCCTTGCGTCTCCACGTGGACTCCACATGGCAGCGTCGGCCCCAATGAACGTACCCGATTGGTCAAAGATTTATCGAGTTGACTCAGTTGAATCGCTGCATGACTCGGATGATGGTATGGACGATCGCGAGTCGGAGATGGTTCCACCACACGAGTATTTGGCATATGCACGGAGCCGGAACTCGGTTTTTGAGGGTGTGGGTCGGACTCTAAAGGGTCGGGACATGAGCCGGGTTCGGGATGCAGTGTGGAGTCAGACCGGGTTCGATGGTTAGACCACTTTTTCCCGATGGGTTCGATGGTTGATCATTGTTAGTAACCCAAAAAAATGAAACTTCAATTGTTTATTTGGTTACTGGTATGGATTTTTTCTTGGGCGATGACTCGACCGAGTGAACTCAAATTTGGACGAGTGAACTCGGTGGCGATTGAGCCCAAGCACTTGCTCTTTTCTTCTCTAAGTTGTCCTGAGTTGAAATTTGAGAAAAAAAATTTGTGTCTAATAGGTAATGGGTATTTTAATAATTTTAGTAAAATGAATGTACTTCACATATTGTGGTGTTAATGAAATTTTGATCTCATTACAACCTTTGTCCAATTGAAACCGACAAAAATGAAAAGTTTTTGAATGTCACACGGAATGCAACATAAAATGGAATATTTTTAGCCACTTAGTATTTACATAAAAAAACACGAGGTGTGCTAAATGTGGTTGTAAATCATCCGAATTTTTCTTGAAAAAATTAAGGAGACGGCTCAAACCCTCCCCAAAATGATTTTCAAAGGAAGTAAATTCCACCTCCACTACAAAGCCAACTATGCAAAAATTAGTAGGATTTTATTAACGGATCTATAAATTTAAGGACAGCCTTTATCGTAGTATCACGATTATATTTAACATTCTTCTTTAAACATATAAACGCTTGTACTATTTAAGTTTTATCAATTTTTGTAAGTACGTTCGAATTACTTTAAACCTTTTGAATAAATTTCGAGGTTTGGTAAATTGCGCGCTAGCGAAAACACCATTCAAGCTGATGCGCTGCACTTTGTGCACGCTCTAAGATGACTAGGTAAAAGTTTGTGCATATTGAAGCCATAGACTGATCAATTAACTTTATAAAATTTAAGAAACAAGAAAAGCATTACCTAGGTTCAGATGCTTAAATATTAGTGTCACCGACATGAGTTTGAGGTTTTATTTTTTGTTCCAGAATTCTTCTTTAAATAAGAAGAATCAGAACTGAGTAATGTGCTTTTAAAATAGAAGTGTCTTTCACACTCGTAATAGTCCAGGTCTCTAAGAAGTCGTGATTCGTGAACTCAATAAAGCTTGAAAAAAGTCTTGTGTTCAAAATCTCGGCCGCAAAAGTTTGTGTCAATTACCAAGGGCCGCAAAAGTGTGTGTCAATTACCGAGCCTCGCATGAGGAAAATTGAGTGTGTGTATTTTTTGACAAGTTGAAAAGAAAATTAAGGCTTCAAACAACGATTGTTTGAAGGTAGAATATTTTTCTTATAAAATATTTTTTTTATGTCTTATTTTTTGGTGTTTGGCGATGATTCGTAAAATATTTTCTAGATCAGCTTTCTAATAAGGAATAGTACCCACACAATTAACTCGTTCTCTCCCTCTCTTTCTTCGGTGTTCCTCACCAGTACTCCCTAAATCATCCCCCCTCTCCCTCTCTCTCCTCGTTATTTTCTGTCTCTGGTGATACGAGAGATGGTAATTTCTTCCGACCCGTTCCGCGCCCTAATGGGGTGGATTTGGTAGCTCTTTAAATGAATTTGGGATAAATATGATAAAATAATTGAAAACCCAAAGTGTGTTTGGGACGGGACGAATTTATTGGTAAACCCGCCCCTGCCCCCGATTATATATGTATCTTTAAAAATTTTATAAATATATATTTAATATTTTTAAGACCTTGTTACTTTGCTGAAAGTGTTCGTTAATATATTAAATATCTACCACCTAGTAATTTAAAAGTTGTGTCAACTTATTTATCAACCCAATTTGGGTATATTGTGCTAGTTTTATTTTAGTAAATAATAAAAGTGACATAACCTACCCCGCCTCGCAATCAAAAGAAGTACATACTAACATCAACGGTTGATAGAAAAAGACAAAAAAAATTGTTGGTCTAGTTGTCATTAGGGAGATGATGATGGCAAACTTCGAGGGGATTAAATGTACACAACTTTATCTCTATATACAAACATACTGTTTATTTGTTTTCACCCTATGTGACCCTAATTCAAAAATCTTATTAATTTAAAATTTGTTGAAATAAAAATGATGGCACTTATTAAAAAAAAAAAAAAGAAAAGGAGGAGGAGGAGGAGGAAGCAAACTTGTATGATAAATGTACCTTTTTTTAGGAACGGACCTAGGAGATTATGCAAAGGGGCGGCTTGTGTTAAGAGGGCAATAGTAGAATTTTTCTATAATTTTAGTAGGGATAATTTTAAAAAATTTTAGGTATTTAATACAAAAAGAAGAAAATAATAAGTATAAAATACTAAAAAAAAATTAAAATTTCATGGTCCTGCTTTTTCCGTTAAAATTTTGACACCTTAAACACCCAAATAAAAATGATATGATGGTTTGAATTCGAATATTTGGTTATCAAAGGGCAATATGGACAAAAAGAAAGTGGGATTCACAAAGAAGATTAGAAAAACGAAATTGCTTTTAGCGGAAGGTGATATTTGGATGGTTTATATTGGGCACAAATTTTGACAGTGACCAAGAAGAGAGAGAGAGGTGTACGTACTAAAATGAAAGCTGGAATACCATATCAAGGGGTGGATATATCATATACCCTTCTGGCTTGCCTTTTCCAGGAAAAGGACACTAGTCTTTTTCGCTGGGCTCACAACTGGTTTTAGCCACTGCTTCAGTCCTTCCACCCATCAATGTACAAGGACTTTTTGATAGTTACATGGCCCCACTCTCAGTATCAAATAAATATAAAACCAAACTTCATTATTCACTCATGCAAGTGGGTTTTTATTTTTTTTTTTTTTTATGGTAAATAAATTATTGGTCGGCTCAGTACCAAAGTCACATAAATCAGGGGCGATAAAATCTAAGTCACACGTAGTGGGAGTCAGAGTAGAAGCACACGAAGCGTGAGAGTAGAAGAGCTGGTGGAGCGTTAGAGTGATAGTCATTGAGAAAAATTATGTGACTTAGGCCAGCACTAGCCACTACGAAGCTAATCAAATTATAATGTACTGTATCTCGATTCTGGTCCAGTGTGTCATTGGGCCTTGAAAACACGATTACACAAGTTTCGGTGTAAATAGATCCAGTCCAATGGAATTCTTTTCTTTTCTGTTCTTTTTGTGTGTGTTTAATCAGCCCATGATGTGTTACTTTAGGAAGTGGAAATCCAATTTTGTGTGCCTACAAAGTGGGCCCGACTTGGAGCAGTGATGATATGTTCTAAAGGGCTGTGACTACAAAGTGGGCCGGCCCAATTTTTGGTTCTCAGTCTCATTCTCAAGAGCATTGTGTAGCTGCTAGAGAGTCTAATTAATGCATGCTAGTAGGGAGGGGAAGGACTAGGATTCATGTCGTTTTGATGCACAACATAGAGCTCAATGTGGGTTGCATGGAGCCCCGGCACAGGAACCCTCCAAAGTTCAAACAGAGGGGCTACACTTCGCTAATGGATAATGCTCTGTTGCTCGTGGAGTCATGATTATTACATGTTGGACATTGTAACTTTCTATTATGATTTGGGCAAAATGCCAAAATAATAATAATAATAATAATGAAAAAGTCTTAAAATTATCTTGTCATAAATAACTCTTCTAAGTCTCTAAAAAAACTATAAAATGAACTTAATCGCTTTAAAGGGTGTTGCTAGGACTATTCCAATGTGCGACACTCCTGCTATTGTGGAGTCTGATTAGAATCAAACTTGATTCTTAACTTTTAAATTCTTAATAGTCACTGGGTGTCCTTGGTACACCTGCATTTTTCTTTTTACCAAGTAAAAATAGTGTAAGCTCTTTTACCTCAAGTAAAGGTTATAACAACTATGCAATAATTTACACTTGATGGATGTTGAAAATAGGTTGTGGGAGAGTTTTAGTAAAATGACTTGATATTAGTTAGAGTTGAATATCAATAGAGACGTTGAATTTTGTAAAACATGCAAGTTATTTGGTCAATGTACAGGTTTTTCTAATATAAAAAATATATTAAAAAAATGAAGAGATAATTTAAAAGTGATGAGATATTTATATATAATTGTTTTTAATAACTAAATTTATGATGTAGAAGTTATATTTTTTTCAAATTGGGTCTATGGCTAATAATGGCCTAGTGGTAGCTTCTCTTGGTTTATTATGCGACCTTGGGTTATCAAAATGAATATGTTATTGATCAAAAAGAAATAAATTACTGGCCGGGCCGGGCCATCACTCTGATTATAATCCACTTAACAATGTATTGGATCTCCACCATAACCCATCTTAGAACCGGGCCAAACTTTTTCAGCCCAAGTCAGTCCTTAAAACATATCAGCCTAGTCCAAGTATGAAATTCCTTTCTTTTCTCTGCTTTCCTTCTGTTTGTGTGTGTGTTATGAGCCCATGATGTATAACTTTTAAAAAGTGGTCCTGATTGGGAACAGTGATGGATCTAGACGCCTTGATGGTTGGCTCTTTTTTTGGTTCTCTCGCAATTGGGCTTGTAGATCCACCAATACTGGTTTGAATGGACTGCATGTTGAGAGTTTCAATTTTTCAAAATCCAATAAATTTCTTAAACCTATCCGTTAGCGTTAGACTTTGGGTTTGGATCTAGGCGTCCATAGGCGAGTACGACCCAGTTAGGAAAGTCTGGATTATACATGTAAGAGAAGTTTTCATGTCTGAAATTGGCTTGGGACAAAAGAAGGAAACAATATAAATATATTATATATATTCCATCGCAAGATTGATCGAGACTGCATTGGCATGTGAAGCATCCGTTAGTTTCTGATTCGGATAACTTGAATACATTCCCCCACTAATTTTTATTGTTATATTTGATTTCCTACTGTTTCAAAAAACTAATATATATATAACCTTTGAAGGTTTTTTTCAAATTCATAAAATTTGACACTTATCCACCTGTTTTGCATTATTTATTTTTAAAATTTACAATGCCACCATATATTAGACGAAGAAAATGCGATTATGCCATGTGTAATTTAGTTTTGATTCTTGAACTAGGGAGAGAGTGAGGAGAGAGGAGGACATTTTTTTTTACTTGTAGTTTTCTCTTTAGTCTGATACTTATTTAAATTTTAATACTCTTTCTGTTTCAAAAAAGATATCATGTTTGAAAATCGTGATTCACGATTTTTCAAACAGAACATTTAATTTGAAACGGAGGTAATATTAAAGTTTGCAATTTTTTTTAAAAAAAACTGTGCCAAAATTATACTGTCTTGATACTTTAAGCATGTTTGAGCTCTTCACTAGAGTTGGGACAAAATATGTACGGAATATATATATATATATATATATATATATATATATATATATATATTTATTTTGCTTTGATTATCATTAAGAATGGTTTGGATATTTGAGAAATAGGGTTGACCTTCCTAATCACGAGATTCACAACCATTGATAGCATCCATGTGAGTGTCTCCGTTGAGTTCAAGTAGATATTATTGACAAGATGCATATATTATTCTTTACTTATGAAACTTTATAAAATATAGTAACTTTTTTCATATTACAAATCTCATGGGAAGTCCATTAAAAATTTTAAATTATTCTATTTATTTAAAATTAATTGCAAACCTACATCAGCACAGATTTGGTTGAACATCAAGGGGCGCGTGACAATCTGTCAGACACACGATAACCACACAACGGCATAGGCTGTAAAACCCCCACCTTCTCACGTGCCACGCGTGTGAGTAATCACTGGAAGTATAAATAAATATATATGTATGTGTATATATATATATATATAGCATTAACATATCAAATTTATATAGTATGGTTTGGAAAGGCAATTGATGGAATTTAATGTGTTAGTGTGTGTTGTATCTGAGTTTCAACCTCTCAGTGGGTCCTCTCTAATGCAGACAGCTATTGCTGATTACTGCTTTTGTCCCCACTCTCCCACACACTTAGCAGCTCATTCATGGCGCCTCAACTCTCTCTCTCACCTCTCTCTTTCTCTCTCTACATCTATTGTGTTCTTTCTTTGATGGTCAAGTCTATTACTTTGTAACCACTCTATCCTCTTTATGTGTTGTTGTTTCACCGTTTTGATCAATTTCTTTGGAAAATAAGTCTTTCTATTGCAGCAGAGCAGGCATGATACAGGGGGTGCTTCACCATCCCAATCTCAATCTTCTCATTGTGATTCTGTTGTTTCTTTGTGAGTATTCATGCCTAATTTGTTCATTCCTTCCTGGGTTTTCTTCTTTTTTGCACGATCTGTGGTATATATCAACTGGGTGATCATGAAATTGCTTTATTTGAGAATTTTTGTGCTATAGAAGGGGTTTGGGAAATGGGTTTGGTAGATTTTGGCAATTCGCGTTGTTGTGCTTAGGCTTTGGTTTGAGTTGGATAAGCCTTGATTTTCAATTTCTAATTTGTTGACATTCCTTCATTGGAAGTCTAACATTACTTTCTTTTGTTTTGCAAAATTGGCACTTATTATTATTATTTTTTTGGGTGGTAAATTTCAGTATGTTAATGCATTATGTGCTTGCTTGTTTAAGGTATCTTTATCTTGCTTTTCTATGTCCAGGTTGATAGGACACTGTAATGTGATTGTGCCAATTTTAGGGTTTCAAATTCGGAACTAGGATACAATATGTTTCATTTTACCTTTTCCCTTGTTTTCTACTATTTCAAAATTTAAGAGTTTGTATTTATGTTCATAATGTGTCAAGTACATCAGGGCAAGGTTTGATTAATCTCTTCCCTTGCTAGTAGAGTTGTGGTTGCACATTACATTTCATTGCTGTGAGAATGATTTGTATTAATAACAATCTGAAGTTCTAGTATGCAAATTGTGCAAATAATATGGTCTGGTTATAATGAAAAAGAATTGTTGAAATAGTGCTAAGAGTGAATTAGAAAAGAATTATACTGAGTGAAGTGTGATCTTGGTTTAATACTTATCTGTAGTTAATTCAACTTGACAACCGGTCCTTACCCCCAACTAGTTGGGGTGACTAGCAATACTTGTTTTTTCATGCTGCTTTGCATTGTGCAATTATCTTTTGTTCATCCTTGTATGATTAGCATTTTTTCACTTAATTGCCTCAGCCGTCATCCTATGAGGACAATCATAATATGTATCATGGTAAAGGCATCATTTAAACCTCTATTCTATTGGAGGACCATAAGCTGGCCTCATGGTTGACAGACTTTGATCATTTTCCTTTCCCTTTTTCTTCATTTTATTTTCTTTTTTCTTTCTTTCTTCTTCTTTTCTTTTTTTTCATCCGGCATTTAAGTTGCAAATTTGGCGCCTCCGGTCTGATCTGTGTCAAAATCATTGAATCCACAAACCACATTTACTTTCAATTCATTGTAGATGGTCTGGGTTGACATTACGTGGAAAACTATCACATTTTAGGGTTTCACATTTTAAAAAAATTGCATAAATAGTCCTTTATGTTAGCCCCTTTTTGGATTGGTGCAAAACATGCTTGTAACGACCCGCTCCACCACATGGTATGATATTGTCCGCTTTGGGCCTGAGCCCGCACGGTCTTGCTCTTGGGCTTCACCCCAAAAGGCCTCATACCAATTGGAGATGACACACTTACATATAAGCACTTCACCTTTCCTCTACCCAGGCGATGTGGGACTGTGCACCCGTAGCTCGCTAGTGTGGTAGCCTAACAGTGTCTCTCACACCCGCCCACGGCACACCCGCCCACAAGGTCATCACAATGCTCAACTCTGATGACCCTAGAAAAGAAAGCACTGTTTTAAACTCTGAATGCAAGCTGTATGGTCCAGATAATGGGATAGATGTTCCACTGCCTTAAATAGTTTTGGTTTTCAATATTATAATAGTGTTCAAGGAACTCCTCTCTCTCTGTGTGATGTAAACAACATATGTCTTTCTATCTGCATTTTCTCTTATGAGCTTTATATGTTTCATAATATCTTTATGTAATACATAAAAAGATAGAGTTACATGATTCTTTTTTTTCTTTTCTTTTTTTTTTTTTTCATTTTTTTCCCAATAAGAATATCAATAATCTATGCAGGTTTATCTCTCACTGACCCATGCTCCTTGCAGGCATCCATGAAACCTGTTGTAACCCGTTGAAATATATGAAAAGCACTGTAATAATGGACAAAAGGGCAGATGCCCTTTTGCCTGAGTACTCCCCAAGTGCGGCACCTCAGCCCCTTCTTCCTCTTCTTGCACCCTCACCATTGACACCATTCACGAATAGCACTATCCCAAAGTTATCAGGTTTGTTCAACATACTCCTATATTGTTAGATTCCTATAGCAGTTTGCGTTGAAAAGCAAAATCATATCTTGCATTCTTTTTTTTTTTTTCAATTACCTTGCAGGACTCTGTACGTTAGACTTTGCTTCTGTTGGAAGTATGATGAGCATGACAGCAACTGATTGTATGGCTGTATTTGCAACATATCTTGCTAATGTAATCTGTTGTCCACAGTTGGAAGCCACTCTAGTCATACTTGTTGGTCAATCCAGCAAAGATACCAATATGCTTGCTTTAAATGGGACCCATGCAAATCACTGTCTCTCTGATTTTGAGCAAGTTCTGGTGGCTCAGGGTGCCAGTGATAATCTGCGGCAGATATGCTCAGTACGTCCATCAAACCTAACTGAAGCTTCCTGCCCAGTAAACGATGTTAATGAATTTGAGAGCACAGCAGATTCTTCTAAGCTTCTTGCTGCCTGTGGAAAGATTGATCTTGTGAATGAATGTTGTGAACAAACTTGTCAGAATGCTATATCAGAAGCTGCTAGAAATCTTGCATTAAAGGCTTATGATCTTCTGACTGTGGATGGATCTCATGCATTGTCTGACCACTCAACTAGGGTTCACGATTGTAAAAATATTGTACTCAGGTGGCTGGCAAGTAAGCTTGATCCTTCTCGTGCAAAGGAAGTTCTTAGAGGACTATCTAATTGCAAGCTTAATAAAGGTGAGCTGGGAGTTGGACACAACTCCCATTCTTTATTGTAACCTGAACAAAATTGATTATTTGGGGATTATTGAAGTTCTGTAGTGATGAGCCCTTTTCAATTGCCACATATAGGGGTGCTCAAGCATTATTAAAAGGATTTAGTAGGGGAAATTCTCGACATAAATTAATTATAAAACAAAAAGCAACCAAATTTATATGTGCAGTTTTCTGTTTTTCTTGTCTTTATTTATTTATTTTGTGGTGGGAGAATAGAGGGGCAAGGATTCACTTGATAGTATTAATCCTCATCAATTATTCCATAGCATCCAATTATATGGGAGAATATATTGCGGGCGGATGATCAGAAGAGGACATAGTTACGTGGATAAGAGTGCTTAGTATTGCTATTATGATTGTTTGACTCTGCCTTTCTGTGCTGGGGATATGTAAACATGAAACATTCTGTTTTTCATTTATCTATATGCATTACCTCCAGATAATTGGCAATGACATTGGTAAGTCTAGACATCTGCTACTGCTCTGTGAGTTTCCCAAGAAGGAAGTAATTTTTCCGCATTTTCTTGGTGTGCTAGATTGTTTCAGCTCTTTATTTTATTTATTTATTTATTTATTTTTCTCTCTCTCTGATATACTTGATTTTACCCAAAAATGTCAATCCCACTGGTCCTTGTTCATCTTCTGTTTTTGTTTCTAACTTTTTGATCTCTTTTCATTTGTGCTTCAGTTTGCCCTCTGGTCTTCCCCAACATGAGCCACGTCATTAAGGCCTGTGCAAATGGGATAAGTAATGAGACAGCATGCTGTAATTCGATGGATAGCTATGTGTCTCGTTTGCAGAACCAGAGCTTCATAACCAACTTGCAAGCTTTTAATTGTGCTGCATCACTTGGAATGAAACTACAAAAACAAAATATTACCACAAATGTATATAACCTTTGTCATATTAGCCTCAAGGATTTTTCTCCCCAAGGTTTGTTTGATTTACAATGGCACTTTGATGAGCCAAGAAAAAGCCTTTTAATATAGCATAAATTCAAGCTCATACTAATATGCTATTCCTTTGTCATTTGCAATGTTGATGTAATGTGGGGATCTACAATTTGAATGCACCAGTTGGAGTTCACGGTAATTTTTGTTCCTCTATGTCCCTTATTGAATTTATGAACTATGTTAAAACCCCATAAATTATTGAAAAGCTAGAGATTTCGTATTCCAAACAGAGAGCATAAATTATCTTCAATGTGCATAGTTTTGCTCATTGGTCTTTTTTTTTTTTTTTTCTCTAGTATGTTCTCTAAATGTACTGTCTAGTGTGAGAGAAGTGAAAAGAAATGTTGTAAGATCTCCCAGAAGTCAATCTAAAGGAGAGAGGAGAAAATGAGTGGAATGTGTCAGAGGAGGAAACAAGTTGAACTGGCCTGACTGAAACTATCACGTCAAAGGTGAAAATGTTTCAGGTGATGTAGAGTTATAACATTTTGGCACAAGTTACAAGCACTTCATAAACATGCTTGGTAAAATATAGGATGGAAAATTTACGGTTTTTATGTGGATGGGTAAAAAGTGTTGGGCACGAATGTATGATATCAACTTTTGTGTAGCCAAAAGTGCATTCACACTGAATATAACCACTAATGCTAAAATACTACCCAGTGTATGTCTCATTCATGTAGGTTGTTTGGAGACTACATATTTTTCATATAGTCTTGACCAATAAATACACAAAACAGTATTTTAGGAGACCTGGTGCAAGAGGGTAGATTTGATTGTTTGGTTCCTCTTTCTTGTTTTAAATCATATACAATAGGTACATCAATCATTTGTCCTTTGGGATCCAACATTAATCCTTTCATATCTCCTAATGGATGTACCTGAGATGCATATCCTCTAGCTCGCAAATAAGGTCGAACCACTTACATCCCCTCTGGGGAGGAAAGCTGTTACCACCTGGGCCAATGGCCCAGTGGTTACGTTTAGCCGTTGTGTTGTCATAGTTGCACAATAATCGGAAATTTGAATATTTGTTCAAAAGGTTGAAAGAATAGAGTAGAAACCTTTTTGAATTTGATATGTAATGAAGTTACCTCCCTCCTCTCTTTGTATAATGTATGAAACGCTGTATTACATTTACCCTATGACTCGACTCGATTTTTTTTTTTTTTTTCATTAGATTTCAAGTTACACTCAATTCTGGTTAAGTGGATTTTGCTTACAAACTAGATCTGTGTTATTTAGCTGTTAGAAAATATTCCTCAATATATCTTATGAATAACTTGCATTATTTGATTGTATTTAAATTTCCTCTGTTTTTGTGTTTATGCACTAGAGTCTGGATGCCTTTTGCCTAGCTTGCCATCAGATGCAACATTTGACGGATCTCAAGGGATTGGCTTTCTTTGTGATTTGAATGATAACATTCCCGCTCCTTGGCCCTCTCCTTCTCAATTACGAGCTTCATCATGCAATAAAAGTATGTGGACCTGTTACTTCTATTCTTTAGATGGGATCATCCTAATTTTTTTCCTTGCGCAATTGATAGTTTGTTTCTGCTAGTTGTGATATAGTTACCGATTTTTATCTGATTTGCCTTTTTTTTTTTATAAAGTAATCCGATTTACTTTTTGGAATTGCAGCTGTCGAAATTCCAGCACTTCCTGCAGCAGCATCTGGGCAAAGTGGTAAGCATGCCAATCAGTTAATCCAGACTTATAGTTTTATTTGTATGTTTCTATTTGTTGCTTCAATGTTTTAAAGAAAGACTTGGGGCGTTGATTTCAATCGATTATCTGGGTCACTTAAATTGATTGCAGTCAAGCAAATTAACTTCAGTACTGTTGCTTGATATTTTGTGATTGTTAACAGAATAGGTTAAGTCTAGTATTGTAACGTGTCATCTAGTAACTCTAAGTTCACGAGTAAGAAGTAATTAATCATCTTACCAAAAATTAGTTGTCTTGGAATGCAAAATGTATAAGATGCATGAACTCTGGTGAATGTGTTGGGTGCGAGTAAGTGTCCAAATGTTGGATATCGAATCCCAAATCTAAAGACTCGGAACAACCAAGTATATTCATAATACTCTTCTTATATTTGCTCAAGTAAATTAATGTGTTTATGTAACATAAGAGTCTTCAACGTAGACATTTCGGTCATTCTAAAGCAATAATGTTTCAAAGGTACATAGTAAGAGTTTTTTTATTCAATTATATAATAAACTTTAATTATTGGATATGCTTGTTTGGTGCATATTATACCGGACGTGTAGAATTTGATGGTGTGTTCAGTCTAACTTAATCTAATTCTAATGGTATATCTTTTATGATCCCACTCAAATTTAGATGATGCCGTGTTCACAAGATTCAGACCATACCACATTAGAGAGCGATGCTATATATTTTTCTTTTTGTTACTATTCCAACTATATGCTGCATTATTTGCAATGGGGATCATTAGGAGTTTCTCTTCTATTCAGACTTCAAGATATATTTTTTTTCCTTAAGATACTTCTCCCGTACAGAAAAATTGTCTGATACCTCTATAATACCATATGTCTCCCGTCAAGAAATCATGATGAGTACAAGCATGACTTAAACGCAGCCGCAATGAAGAGTGATCAGCTGGCTGGGTAGTTGAGAACATTTTGAATGCCTGGTCAAAATATGTTGCTTATTCTAGATAGGAATACAGATAGATGAGCAAAGTAGAAAGCCATATATGAATTTATGGAATCTATTGTGATGGAGGAAAGCACTAGAAAACTTAGAAAGTAATATTGCAGCCTAAATAGGTTTTTTGGTGGATTTGGGTCATGAAAAGCTTTAGGCTATGTTTGGTATAGTAGAAAAGAAAAGAAAGAATAACATTTGTTATGAGTGAAAAGAAAGGAAAGGAAATAAAAGGATAGTTATAGCCTCTTATCGCGTTGGTTGATTAATGAAAGAAAAGAAAAGAAAGAATAATAATCATGTTTGGAGAAAAAAAGGAAAGGGAACCATTTTAATTAATTTACCAATATACCCTTTACATTTTAAAGAACAAATTTATAGATTAAGCATGCAATTTCTGAGCATGACATCCACTGCCAAACATGTTTTTAACCATTTCAAGTTTGAACCAATTTTTTTAACCCATAATACCAAATAAAGAAGCTTAACAAAAATATATGGTATTACATTGTTCATGGGGTTAATACTTGGTAATTAACACTTTATTTATATTGAGTGATATGCTTTTGATGATGTTACAAAATAAATCTATGACCTAACTTTCACAACAATAACTGAAGTACCATTTACCCAACAAAAGAAAAAAAGAGTAAGCTAGGATGCTTTGAAAAATGATAAACTTGATGAGAAGAATGGTACCATAAATGCTAATTAGGATAATGTACTTGATGCATTTTTTTTTTTTTTATGCATATTGCCCACCTTGTTTCCAGCCCATAAATAATGCACTGAAGAGCAGTTGCCGAAAGGTACTGAAAGGATTACAAATTATCTTATTGATTTAAGGGTAAATTTGGTACTAGTAAAATAACATTAGCCTCTCCTTTCCTTTCCTTCCATTTCCTCCCACTTTTGAGAGGATAGCAAATGTTACTATTTAAGCTTTACTCTCTCCCTCCAAAACCCTCCATTCCCTTTCCTTTCCTTCCAACCTCTTATACCAAACACAATTTTTTATTCCCCTCCATTACCTTTCTTTTCTTTTCCTCCCATTTCCATTCTACCAAACTAGGCCTTAGTGTTGGGGTTTTAAGAGCAAGAAGGTTAGGACATTGACTTGGTCTGACAAGTGCTAATTTACATGAATTCTGTGATTCAATTGTTGAAAATTGTGGAATGTAAGTGTTCTGATAGATATCTTGCATTTAGGCTTGCCTGTGAGAGAAACTGCCGAGGGGCCTTTTCCAGAGGCAGGAGAAAAAGGCCTGGTTACTTGGGACTGATTCAGGGTTCAAATTTTTTTGAGATTGATAATCCATTATGTATTTTATAGAGTAATTACGTAAGGTATAGAATAGCCCTTAAGCACTTCCAGCTTCTGTACTCACCATAATATCTCTAGCCTCTCAAGTAGGGGCGGAGCCAGGACTCTCCGGTTGTGGGGCCCAAATAAAACTTTTTTTTTTAAAATTACCACTGAAAAAAAAAAAAGAGCTAGCATCCATGCATCCAGGATTTTTTTAATTGATTGGTTTAAAAGTATATACACCAATTTAATATTAATTTATGTGCTTATATTTATACTAGGAAGCACGGACACGCCAAAATGGGCGAAGAATTCATGTCCAACACCGTCGGACACGCCCTGAAACGTGTCGGGCACACCAAAAAACGTGTCTAGAATTTTTTTTTTTTTTTAATTTTCGGACACGGCACGGAAACGCGTCTAGAATTTTTTTTTTTTTTTTTGAATACTGATATGTTCTGTTTTTTGTTCTGTACTACCCCTTTGGTATTGTAAATGGTAAAATTCCTAGGTCAAATAATGGATGGAAATAGATGATAGTACAATGACTTGTTTTTGTATCTTTTTTGGGGACTAGCTTTTAAGTTTTTGTGAATGTTAAGTGCTAATACTAAAGTCCTGAATGTTAAACAATCATGCATGTTAATAGTCCTTTCTGTTTGTGCTTTTGTATTTGGAGTACAGTTGCAATGGTGATTAAATGATACTAGTTATTATTCTAATGTCTTGTTTTTTATTTGGTTTTATAACTCTGCAACATTGTTCTTTTATAGTTTATTAGTTATGAGTTATGATGTGTGTTTTTTTTTCATTGTGAGGTTGATGAAAAATAGTAACACTCAGTAATATTTAAAGTACTACATCATATATATATATTATTTGCCGTGTCCCCTCCGTGTCCTAATTTTTTTGGATTTGCCGTGTCATCGTGTCCGTGTCGTGTGGTATCTGTGTCCCTTATCCGTGTCCGTACTTCTTAGTATTTATATATATATAATTGTATATATTATATATACATATTGTATAAATGTATATCAATAAATGTAGTATACCGTATATATTACATTTATATATCATTATGCATAGGTATATTCGATGTATACAAGAGGATTAAAAAACCCAAAAAGAAAAATAGGATTAGGACTTTGAAGAATAAAAAATTTATTTATTTATTTTTACCGGCCCACCCCCCAATTGCAAGAATCTATAAAAGCTTTGACAGTTGCTTCATGTAGTGCATCCCAAATTTATGCTTTGTTATGTAGTTTTGGGTTATATTATGTATATAATATATAGCATCATATTATATGGGACTAATATTATACTACCATAGCTGATATTTTATTATTATTTGGTTGGACATAAAATAAACTAACTAAATATTTGATGTACTTGAATTTGGCTTCTATTATATTATAAGAGGGCTGATTTTTATTCCTATGGGTTGGGCTAAAATAAATTAAACTATGAGTTTGATGTATGAGCTGATATTTTGTTATTGTTTCGCTTTTTGGTTAAAAGATAAAAGTCAAGTCAAAAGTGGTAAGTGTACAGGACAACAGCATGTATATATCAACTAATATGTTGTTGGATTTGGGCTTAAATTTTTTTATATGGGTTTAAAGTTGTTAAAGGCCCGATGAAGAATTTTATTTGGGGGGCCAAGTATGGACTTATCCTCCTTTTTTTTTTTTTTTTTTTTTTTGGGCCCTATGGAGGTGGTAGTGGCACCAGTTCCAGTAATATTGGCTCTGGTCACGGAAATGGTTATGGTGTAGGTGGTGGCATAGGTAGCAAAGGAGGAGGGGGTGGTGGTGGAGGAGGAGGTGGAGGTGGAGGCAGCGGTGGTGACGGTGAAGTGTATGGACATGGTGAGGGTAGTGGATTTGGTACAGGTGGTGGTGATCATGGACATGGTAATGGTGATGGTGATGCCGGCAATAGAATAAGAATATGACACTTCAACTGGTAATATTATTTTTAGACCTAATAAAGGTTACATCAATTAACCTAATATAGTATCATTTGACCCAAAAGAAGACTCATGAACCGCTAATACAGTCCATATCTATCTAATATGCATAATACTAAAATACCCTTAACTTTTAAATATAAGAAAATATAAATAAAACTGCTCTAGCAGCAAACTAACATGTGGCAAGTATGACCAAAGGGTCTCTAGCCCAATGGTATGATCTCTCCTCCCCAAAGGGGGAGGTGGTGAGTTTAAGTGCCACTAGGATATATTGTGGATAATCGGTGTGTGTGTTTGCTTTAATTTCCCAAAAAATAAAAGTGGCAAATATAAAGTAACACTTGGATTCAGCCCAAAACTTGAGCACAGAGGATCCAATCAAGTCCGGACTAAATTCCCAAATTGCTGCTAATTCTCGTTCACTTGCATTGCACCTGTTGGTCGTGAAGATTAGTGGGCACTAGCATTACTTTAGACAATATGGAGCAATATACTGGTGATTGGTTGAGATGGATGATCTTGAGAATAGTTCTTAGTGCTGGTCTAAAGTTGTATTTTATAGCTAATCTGAATAACACCACCCCCGCCGCCCCCACCACCACAATTCCCAATGTTTTCATCATCCTCTCAGGGTCACGTATAAGACTGCAATCACTTTGGCATGTCTTGCTGTTGTCATCCTGACATGTGTTGCAGATTTATGACGATCAGTTCAAGGGTTGGGGAAAATAAAAAGCTAGATCTTTCTTCATCATGATCTCTATGATAGTGAATATTGAAGTTCTCGTCATATTGTTGTTTAGCTCTCCGCTACTCTATGATTTATTTTATTTTATTTTTTCCTTGGCAAGAAACTCACACACCCACATACTCCTTTGGGGACTTGAACCCTCAACCTTCTACTTTAGAAGGCGAGAAAGTACCACTACCACTATCGTATGTTTTATTAACAACAAAAAAAATGTGAAGGGAATGGAATACAGAATTTGGGAAAATTTTCCACTCGATCATGACGGTCCTTTTCTAGCGCTTTTAGTTCTTGAGCGAGGGGGGGAGAACTGTGAAATAGAATTGTTACTTGTTTTTGATAGACCTTTAATAAAGATTTCTTATGATTCTCATTGAAATTTGCTCATCTTTCACTTCGCATTCTCATGTTCTGCAGGTCTTTACAATGAGGAGTTAATGTTTCTTATTCTTTTCGGTGCCTCTGTGGTTCTCATGATGGTCTTGTAAATCTTGATTGAGCCATTCCCACTCCTTCCGTTGTAGTGAGAAGCTGTTCACTGCCCAGAATGATGATGTCCTTGAAGAACAGATATATCAACTGGAATTAAATCAAATGAGGATTTTATTCCTGTGGAGGTTTTACCTGTACAAAATGCAACAAAGTTGTTTAGGTAGAGAGAATGTCAGTTGAAGGTGAATTCAAGTTCGAATCTCTGATCAATTTAATTTATCATTCTTGCATGTCTGTGTAATAAAATTTTTTGTAAAGAAATTTCACAAAATGAGCTAGGTTATGTAATTATCACTGCTTGAAATTGTCATGTAAAATTGGAGTTCATAGAGAGCTGAATGGTATTAATTTCAACTATAGCATACATCATGGCTGATCTCTATAATGATAGAAGTTCTTGTCCCAGGGAGTGTTCAAGGATTGTGTGCGAGTGGGTATGTAATATTATCTAATAGCTTAACTTTTAGGTTAGCGGGCAGGCAATTGTCCGGCTCTGTTACAATTTGGTACTGTCGGGGGTATTTACATCAATTTTAAAATTTCGATTAAAGTTTTTTGGTCAAAATAAAATAATGTGAGGAAGATCCCTTTACAACTTCCAAGATACTATGAGGACATTTTTCAATCACTATTTTGCAACTAGCCATTTTTGGTATATGAGTTCCGTAGCGTAAACGTTGGAGCTTCATTTGGGATCTTTTAGTCTTTCAACTTATTTTCACTGTTCTAGAAAGCTTACTGATTTTTCTTTTTTACTACCATCAATACCAAAGTCATCCCAAAACAAATCTCATTTTGAGAATCTAAATTTTTAAAATAACGAATTTTTATTATTTTTTATTATATTAATAATAAATGGATTATCAAATTTATTTTTGGTGGGTAATTGTTTACTCCGTGCTAGTATTTAACAGAAGTCACAGTCCATACAGTGTAAGGTCCATAATTAAAACGAATTTAAAAGCTTAACAAAGTATGGAGTCTATTAATGATGGTGATGATCTCAATCAACAGAATTTGCTGTCTGAAAAATCGGCAACTGAGCCACCAAGCTCCGCCCTTGAAGAAGTACTATCAGACACAAGCCTGTCCAACTTCCGGCGGCTCCAACGGGCCACCGGCATTGAACTAGTTACCCTCTTCTGTCTTGCAGTTCCGGCAATCGTTGTTTACTTGCTAGGCAATGTTCTCTCAGCGTCCACTCAGATCTTCTGCGGCCTCTCTTGGCTACAACGGCATCCAAGTCTTCGCCTATGGTGTCATGGTACACACTCTCTGTCAATATACATATGAATATATATACATCTATAGTATACAGTTCCTAATAACTAGAATAAGCTTTATTGAATATTTGAGTGTATGCACAGTGCATATAAGATCTACGTTTGTGTTCATTTTAGAACAATCATTGTTTATCTTCAGTGAATGATACATTTTCAGTGAATGGCCATTGGATACCATGCATAGAATGTTTAAAGAGAGAGACATAAACATAGTGGAAAAATAAAAATGGTCTGTAACAATCCTCACACAATATTGTCACGGTTTTAAAATGCGCTATGTTATAAAAGGGTGTTAAATTTACATATAGCACTCGTCCCTTTGACAACTAGACGATGTAAAATTATGCACTTATAGCCCGCTTACTGGTTTCATCTATTACACATGCTCACACACTCGTGCTCACAAAGCCACCACATGATGATACCTACATACATGCAAATATTTAATGTTATTTTTGGTAAATTACATATGTAATAATTATTTATTATTAATGTTATTTATTTTCCATGCACAGCTGGGAATGGGAAGTGCAGTGGAGACACTGTGTGGTCAAGCCTACGGAGCTCGCAAGCATCAGATGCTAGGAATATATCTACAAAGATCAGTGGTCGTCCTTATGGCAGCTGGGGTCCCACTTACAATTATCAACATATTCTCAAACCCCCTCTTGCACTTACTCGGTGAATCAACGGCGATCGCGTCCGCAGCAGCATTGTTCGTGTACGGTCTCATCCCACAGATATTGGCACACGCTGCTCTTTTTCCAATGCAGAAATTCTTGCAAGCACAGAGCATTGTGGGCCCCAGTGCATACATATCAACGGTCACGCTTGCCGTGCACCTTTTATTAACGTGGCTCGCGGTGTACCGATTTGGGTGGGGATTGTTGGGTGCTTCGCTGGTGTTGAGTCTGTCATGGTGGGTCGTGGTGGTGGCACAATTTGCGTACATCTTGATGAGTGATCGATGCAAGGACACGTGGACTGGGTTTAGTGTGTTGGCATTTTGTGGACTGTGGGATTTCTTGAAATTATCCAGTACATCGGCAGTGATGCTGTGCCTGGAGGTTTGGTACACGGTGATACATGTGTTGACTGCTGGATTGCTTCACAATGCTGAGGTGGCATTGGACTCACTCTCCATTTGGTAAGAGAACTACTGACCTTAACATTGGGCATTCTGAATTAGATTCTTATGAACCAGGAAAAAAAAAAAAAAAAGATTCTTATGAAACATAAAAAAAATATAAAAAAAACCGAATTTAAATAACAACATATAATTTGCTAGTGATTCTATTAGAGTTTGTAAATCATTAATACGCGTTAGTTGTCAAAAAAAAAAAAAAAAAAAAAAAAAAAGAGTTATTAAAACAGGTGAATTGATTCTTTGTCGCCCAAAAAAAAAAAAAATTTATTGAGTGGGGAAAAGAATTGTAAAAAATTTTAAAAATCATCAAGCAAACAAATACATTTTTTTTTCTATTACTTGGTTCTCTATAAAAAATTTAAAAATATAGGGTTCTAGAATTAGATATAAAAAAAAGGGCCCTTTAATTCTCTTTTTACAATCGTGAGCAAAAATTTGTGATTTAAGTAAATGCTTATACCTTATTCCGGCATAAATATCATCCTCCTTTTTTCCACGCGAAAGATATCTACTACTGAATTCTCTTTTTCTCTTAAGACTTTCATGTAAATACCAAAATTTTAATAAATAAATATTGTGGCTTAACTTTTATTGATTTATTTATTTACAAATGCAGTATGACAATACTTTTTTGGACATTTATGGTTTCTATGGGGTTCAATGCAGCTGCAAGGTCGGTTATTCTTGGCGCCCTTTGCATACATTCTATATAGTAGTATTTTTTTTTTTTTGGGTAAAATATTTTTTCTATTTTTATTTTTTAATGTTTGATAAAAGTCTATGCGGATTTCATCGACTGGCTATGTAAAATAGCTTCTCAAAAATTAATGAAATAAATTATTTTTGTCAAATTTTAATTTTTTTTTTTTTTAAAAAAAATTTACAGTAACCAAACACAGAAAAAAAAAACGCTACATTAATTGAGAGAATGATTTCATGAAAAGTTCGAAAATTTATTCCAATGTCATCAATCAGCAGTGTCTAGTGGCTTGTGAATCACACTAATTAACAGAGGGTGTATATTTGGACTAGGATTTTCTTGTTATTTTTATTTTTTATTTAAAGAAAAGTTAGTTTTCAGGATACTAAAGTTGTATCCATTTTTATATCCCTCACAGTGGCTACCTAGTTACAGTTCATTTGGGTGTTTAAAAATATCCAATTTACAATGCATAACGATGAGATCGTGAATAAATTTTATATCATATGGTTAATTTGAATTAATGTTAATTTGACAATTTACATGTGTATATATATATATATATAGTGTGAGAGTGAGCAATGAGCTTGGCAGTGGACATCCCAAATCGGCTGCGTTTGCCGTTGTTGTGGTGAATTTAAGCTCATTCATCATCTCAGTGATCATGGCTGCTGTTGTACTCATATTTCGCGACGTCTTGAGTTATGCCTTCACTGATGGTCAAACTGTAGCTGATGCAGTCTCAGATTTAGCACCATTGTTGGCAGTCTCCATCGTGCTTAATGGTGTTCAACCTGTTTTAGCTGGTGATCGACTAACTAAACCTAATTAATATAAGACTTGGTGATCGAACATGCATGAATTAATTCTGTTGGCGTCTTTGTGAAATGATTGAGGGGTTGCTGTTGGGTGTGGATGGCAAGCATTTGTTGCTTATGTGAATGTTGGATGTTACTATATTGTTGGAATTCCATTGGGTTCACTTCTCGGCTTCAAATTCGGCCTTGGAGTTAAGGTATTTTTTTAAATTTAGTTTAGGGTATATCAATTATGGGAACAATATTATTTAAAATGAACACTAATTTAAAAATTTTGTCCCTGATTGGTTTGCCACTCTGAAAATAATTTTCAAGAATTCAATAACATAAAACTGTTTTAAAAAAATTATAAAAGATAGTTATTTGAAAATACACATTTTCACAACTGAGTTTTCAGAGAATCGTTTTCAGAAAACTGAACAAGCAAGAGTTTTTTTTATATAATTTTCTGAAAACAGAAAACTATTCTTAGAGTTACAAATCAAACATAAATATCCCTTAAATAGATATATTTAATAAGATCGATCAAAGTTTTGAAATTATCCAATACATTCAAGAGATGTATAAATTCTTTTCGGTTAGTTTTCTCTATCAAACTCTCAGGTATCAATGCCTTAAGGGACACGATAATTACATTGCATCACAGGAGTAATTAGTATAAAATAAATTTAGATTAATGATTGGTTTTTGGGTATGTTTTGGTGCATGCAGGGAATATGGTCAGGAATGATGGGAGGCACTGCTATGCAGACGATCATCTTATTGTGGGTCACTTTCCGAGCTGACTGGGACAAAGAGGTCACTAACTGTGAATAATATCTACTTTACCCAAAAAAACTGTGAATAATATTAGCAGTATATACGTACACTTAAAATCAACAATATGTTGGAGAATTATTTAAAAACAATTTCGACTCCATTATTTGGCACATTCAATTTAATTATGCTTGGAATTTTCAGGTGGAGAAGGCGAGGAATCGACTGGAAATATGGGATGACAAGGAGAAGGAACCTTTGCTTTAAGAGCTGAAGTAGTATACACTAAATACATGAACCCGGACCCTCTTAAGATGAAATGTTTTATCTTTGTACTGTGTTCTGTGCTTTTACATCGCTTAACTTCGTCATGAATTGAAAATTCATTTCATACCAATTATTTGATACTCACACGGTCACACCCCCTATGATGAATATCAAGGTATGTGTAGGGAAATGAGATTGTAAATATGTCTAGGCCATGTCCATTGAATTTCGGATAAGAGCTGTGAGACTTTCATAGACTTGTTGATGAGCCATCCCTTCCTAGCCAGGAGTTGAGTTAGTGGTACATACCTAGCAGAGAGGTCTACATGGAAGCCAATTATCACACACCTTTGAGCTAAGTGTATGTGTTGAGAGTTGGTGCGCAGCGTGGAATATATATAATAATACTAAAATTTTACCGAAATAAAACTAAAATTAAACCACAAAGCAAAAAATAAAGTACAAGTAAAGTAAACAGAGTTTGAGAGATGATACTAGAATTTTAGAGAGGAAACCCTAATTGGTAGAATAAACCAATTGTAACAGGAAAAATCTCGTTGGACTTTGCAATCCTGAGATAAATGATCCACTATGTTTGAAGCAAAGTATACCAAACTTTGACTCAATCTCACACCCTATCATTCTATCAAAAATCAATTGCTGGCAATCCTTGGCTTTGCGACTCCCCCGTCCAACCGCTCTCGACCTCAAGCTTGTTATCGATCTCTGTAGAAGAGTTGCAGATAGATCAGACAACACTTCACGAATGCTCTGGCCCCTTCCAAGTGTGATCGTTTCACCCCTTTTCTTTTAGATCTGAATTTGATGAAGAATGAATGAATTCTGCTTTTCTGTAATTTCTGAATTTTCGATTATGCTCCAATTCCGATGAGATAGAGAACAACACTCCTAAATCACTCTTGTGTTTATGTGTGTGCTCTAAAAAATAAAATCAGCTCTTTAATAAATCTGAATTTTGTATACAAAAGCCATGTATAAAAATATCTCTCAAATGGCTTTCTCAAAATATAGAATTGATGTTCCTTAAAGTTATGAATAAACTTATGTAAATGACAAGGTTTATATAAAGTTTAGAATGACCTAATCCCTCTGAAAATATGAAAAAATTCGTGCATAGAATTTGGTACAATTCTAGAACAACTAGGAAAGAATTCTGAAACAGAAAAATATAAGTTGGACTGCTGTCAGGACATCTTGAACCGGTTCAATGGGGCTGAACCGGTTCAAGGTAGGCAGAACTTAATTTCGAACCTAACCTTGAAGCCTCGAACCGGTTCAAGTCTAGCAGACTAGATTTTCTAGTTCACTCAGCCTGAAAACACTATATTTGGTAAGTTTGAAATAAATATTAAATGTAAAATGCGTCTTAACCTTTTTAGATTCCTTCCTGAAGTGTTGTTCTTACCTTTCTCGAATGATCTCAGTCATGATAACTTTGAATACATTTCAATTCCGCAGTCGTTATTGATCCCGATACAGTAACTTAAATTATAGCTCGACTATGACTTGTTTTGATACTAAAAATTGCCAATTACAAAATATATATTTTTTACAATTTCCCCAACATATATATATCTCACAGTCTGTTCTGCAAAAGCTTTATCCAAAACCATGTGCATTCATTTTGTACGTTGATTTTCCAAATGCTTCTAAGATAACTCTCTGTCCAATCCTTCACAAACTCATTTGAACACAGTCCACAAATACCTCATAATTGCCGCTCTATTCCACATTTGAATGTCATAGATTCCTGAACCTCCTTACTTTTGCTATGAAGTTGTTCATGTCATGCCCAAGGAAATCTTTGTAGCATTTGGCCAATCTGTTCACACATTTGCTGGTAGAATGAGGATGTTAGTCCATCTCCCTGCAAAAGAGAATGCTCTTTGCTGTCCAATTGTTTGCGCTCAAGCTAAATCAGACCGTAACCTGATACTTCAGGCGGCATCAAGCCATATGACTTATTGTAACGGGTAGATGCTATTGAGTAATGTTCTATATCCATTCATTTATATCCAATCATTTTTTCATCTGAATCCAATGTTGGACAAATGACCCTTGTTATACTTACCCACTTGAGTTGATTGGTACAAGATGGAAGAATATTTTTAAGAACCAACTGCTAACAGAATTAACAGCTCAACTATCAAAAAAAAAATGGATTGAGAGCTCGATTTACTTGCACTTGTCTTTTAAAACCTTAGCTTTAATTTAGTATCTATTTTTTCTCTTTTAATCGCATGTCTCCAAATTAAAGAGCATATTTGGAATACCCAAGGGTAATTACATTATCTTAAAAGTGATAAATACTTGGTATAATGATAGTTAATTTATACTAACAAATATATACATATAAAAAATAAAAATAAAAACAGCATGTTCGGAATAAATCAATCATACCAGAGGGTGACATGCATGCATTACGAATCTCTTAAGAAAAAAAAAAAAAAATCAACTGAGCAATGATATTCAGAGTCTAAACGAAATAGAAAGTCCAAAACTACCCATTCAATAAATACATAAATTAGGTCTCTGTGCGCGCCAGTTTGAACAGAGTTTCAAGTTAGATTTGGAATAAAGATGTCAAGACTAGAGTTCAACCGCAATCAGACAACTAATACAATTTATATATTACTAGCTAGGAATCTGAGATCCGATCCAACATAACCCATCCAACCCAACAAACCGAGCATAACCCCTCAGTCCAATCAATCTGAAAAAAATCAGACAACTACCATTTATATATTACTAGTTAGGAATCTGAGGATCCGATCCAACATAACCCAGCCAACCCAACAAACCAAACATAACCCGACGAACATGATCAGTCTAATCAATCTGACATGCATGCAACGCATGCTTCATTAGGGTGTTAAGATACAGTTCGAATATGTGTATGTAACTAGAATTTAGAAATATCTTGAAAATTAAATACCATGTTATTTTCTTGGTTAGCCATGGAGAGGACGGACTCGTTATGAATATTTTTTTAGTTTTAGAAAATGAGATTAAGTATAATCTAAAATATATTATGTGTTAGTTAGAAACATAATATAAAATTTAAGAAAACAAAAATAATAAACATCTCACTCTAAGTTTTAAATTAATGATTTCATTCATAATTATATAAATAATATTAAAAAATTAATATTTATATATAATAATAATAATAATATATTATATATATATATATATATATATATATATGACATATCTATGCTGTATTAGTATCTTATTTTTTTAAAAAAACTTATCATATTGTCAAATCCGTATTGTGTTCTATTCATACTTCTTATATCTGTGTAACGATTACAAAATTAATAAAATTGCATGCTTTGATTATACAAATTTAATATTAGAATACGTATGGTAATCATCTTTTCTTTTATCTTATATTAATGAAGTTGGACATATGAATTTTCTTTTTTCTATTCATTTCTATTGCAAGTAATTTTTATTATTATATTTAATTAAATATTATGTATCATTTCCTCCCTCGGTCTCAAAATAGGTGTTCTTTTTTTAGAATCTAAATTTTTATCAAAATAATTATATTTTTGGAAGTACCGTAAATGAATTCTCTTTTTATATTCATTTCTATGGCAAGTAATTTCTTTTATTATATAATATTTAATTAAATATTGTGTATCATTTACCCTCTTTCCGTCACAAAATAAATTTTCCTTTTTGATAATCTAACTTTTTAAAAAAATGATGTTATGAATATTACAAATAATAATAATAATAATAATAATAATAATATATTAATTTTTCAAATGTGATAATTATTTTACGATGAATAAAAATAATATATAACTCCGTCATTCAATGTGATTTATTGACTGGCCGGTATATCAGTGTCGTACACTCTTACCTTCTTTTATACAGACAAATATATATTATTTGGGTATATCATGTGATTTTTTTGCACTTTACCATATATATTTTTTGGACCATAACACGTAAATATACTCTTATATTATACACAGACACGCACCCTGTTCTAGAGGCCCTCCGTTAAAACGAATTTAATTAAAAAGTGTAGAACAAAGTATGGAGTCCACAAACGATGGTGACGAGCTCAATCAACCCATGTTACAGTCCCAAAAATCGGCAGCTGAGCCGCCAAGCTCCGCCCTTGAAGAAGTCCTATCAGACACAAGCTTGTCCAACTTCCGGCGGCTTCAACTGGCCACCACCATCGAACTGGTTACCCTCTTCCGCCTTGCAATTCCGTCAATCGTTGTTTCCTTGCTCGGAAATGTTATCTCACTGTCCACACAGATTTTCTGTGGCCATATCGGCAATCTTGAACTCGCCGCCTCCTCTCTTGGCAACACCGGCATCCAAGTCTTCTCCTATGGTGTCATGGTACTCTCTCTCTCTCTCTCTCTCTCTCTCTCTATCTATATATATATATATATATATATATATATAAATGTATACATAAAAACATGTACATATGCTACAAGTGATAGACCTCACAAAATATTTTATTATTATTATTATTATTATTATTATTTTTTGGTGAGCAGCTAGGAATGGGAAGTGCAGTGGAGACTCTGTGTGGCCAAGCCTACGGAGCTCGGAAAAATCAAATGCTAGGAATATATCTACAAAGATCAGTGATCGTCCTTATGGCAGCTGGGGTCCCACTTACACTCGTCTACGTATTCTCAAAGCCCCTCTTACTATTACTCGGTGAATCAACGGCGATCTCGTCCGCAGCAGCATTGTTCGTGTACGGTCTCATCCCGCAGATATTCGCATACGCCGCTTGTTTTCCTGCGCAGAAATTCTTGCAAGCGCAGAGCATTGTGGCCCCCAGTGCATACATATCGACGGTCACGCTTTTCGTGCACCTTTTATTAACGTGGCTCGCGGTGTACCGATTGGGGTGGGGATTGCTGGGTGCTTCGCTGGTGTTGAGCCTGTCATGGTGGATCGTGGTGGTGGCACAATTTGTGTACATCTTGGTGAGTGATCGATGTAAGGACACGTGGACTGGGTTTAGTGTGCTGGCGTTTTCTGGACTCTGGGATTTCTTGAAATTATCCACTGCATCGGCAGTGATGCTGTGCCTGGAGACATGGTACTTCGAGGTACTTGTGTTGATTGCTGGATTGCTTGACAATGCTGAGGTGGTATTGGACTCACTCTCCATTTGGTAAGAACAAAAGAAAGTGGGCCACTCTTACCACAATAAGTATTTTTTTTGGTCCTCAGACATAAATATAAATACCATAAATATTAGTACTAATAAATATCGTGTCTTAACTTTTAGTATTGATTTATACATGCAGTATGACTATACTTTTTTGGGCATATATGGTTTCTGTGGGGTTTAATGCAGCTGCAAGGTGAGTTATTCTTCAAAAATCAAATGGTTTGAATTAATATTGATTTGACAATTAATGTACATATATGTATATGCATACAGTGTGAGAGTGAGCAATGAGCTTGGTGCCGGACATTCCAAATCGGCTGCATTTGCCGTTGTGGTGGTGAATGTTAGCTCCTTCATCATTTCAGTGATCATGGCCGTTGTTGTGCTCATATTCCGCGACGTCCTGAGTTATGCCTTCACCGATGGTCAAACTGTAGCTGATGCAGTCTCAGAATTAGCTCCCTTGTTGGCAATCTCCATCGTGCTTAATGGTGTTCAACCTGTTCTATCCGGTGACTAACTAAACCTAATTAATTATAAGACTTAATGATTGAACATACATCAATTAATTCTAACATATAAGTTAAACTTAAAACACTAACGAATAAACTTGCGTCTTACTTGAAAGTTGAAACATGTAAGTCTAAATATGTATTTTAGGTCTAAGATAATTATCTGCTCAAATATCAGTCTTCTTTTTATACTAGCTAGCTTCAACTTGTTGAACATCTCTCTTACTGCTTAATATTTATGACTATAATATATATATATATAAGAGTATGTGCATTTAGTTTAATATTTGTTTGTGACTTTGTGAGATGACGAAGGGGTTGCTGTTGGGTGTGGATGGCAAGCATTTGTTGCTTATATAAACGTTGGATGTTACTACATTATTGGAATCCCATTGGGTTCACTTCTCAGCTTTAAATTCGACCTTGGGACTAAGGTATCTTTCTAAATTTGATTTAAGTTATACTAATAATCCGGACAATACTATTTAGAATGAAAATTCAAATCGAAAATATTTATTCCTATTCCATGAATAAATCCATTAGGTAAGGTTAAAGCTTTAAAATTATTCAAATGCCTAACATAAATTTAGATTAGTGATTGGTTTTTGCATATGTTTTGGTGCAGGGGATATGGTCGGGGATGATGGGAGGCACTGCCATACAGACAATCATCTTACTTTGGATTACTTTTCGGACCGATTGGGAAAAAGAGGTCACTAATCGTTTGCCTTCGTGAAAATTTGAACTCGATCTGATCACCATTCATTTTAAAAAATAGAGAAAATACCGCTACATTTATGTAATTACCATTTTTTTTTTTTGCAATTACATTATTTGGCGTACTTCAATTAACGAATGTTTGAAATTTTTAGGTGGAGAAGGCAAGGAATCGATTGGAAAAATGGGAAGACAAGGAGGAACCGTTGCTTAACAGCTGAATTAGCAGCATTTATGGCTACTAGCATGCAAACTTATTGTCATCTGATTTTCTCTAAGCCAATGGTTTTTCTGTTAGGTTTTTTTCTTTTATTTTATGAAAAATTATTTTTCGATTCAAAATCAGACAACTCAGAACGGCTGCGGGAGTAATGGCCCCACATTCCTCACTCACATCACCCATTCAAAATTGTCCAGCTTTCAGAAATTCTATCATCGATCTCTATTTTAATATATTTTTCGTGGATTAGTAGATAAAAGAAGAAATTAAGGTGGAAAGATACATATTTTTTTGCCGTACTATAAATTATATTGCTTACGATTAATATTGGTACCCAAATAAATAAATGGCTTGATCAAGTGAACTTTGTACAAATCTATCCATCAATGCTAATATATTGCAAAAAATATAGACTCAGACTAATAATAATTGTTCAGCAAATCACATAATGAAAGATTAATTATACAGTACTGACAATTCAACTTATGAATAACTCATGATTTTAGCATAGCTTTTTTATTATTATTTTTTACTAATTCGGAACTATACTGAAATCTGACAAACAACTGGGAATATTCTTAGAATTCATGTTCACTAATACTTCGCTGATGTTTGTTGTCATAGTTGAGCCTCGCCTCTATTGCGTGAATCATGACGATATAATATTATATAATATACAGTATACACACACACTGTGGATAGGTTGTTGGACCATGTGCATTTAATTTTGTTTGCGTCTATATTTATGATGGACAATTAATGTGTGTGTAATTTTGTTTAGTGTCATTGTAAAATAATGAAGGCGTATCTGTTAGTGTGGATGTCAAGCATTTACTGCATCTGTAAAAAACAAGCAATAAAAAATAATTAATTTTCGCCAACATTCCATAAAATAATGGGCAAATTACACAAGCTACCCATGAGATTTCGATGTTATGCATGTAGATAAAAGTTATAGTAATATTATACAAAGGTTCATGTTGACAGTGTGATAAAAAAAAAAAAAAAAAAAAAAAAAAAAAAAAAAAATCAATACAAATTTACACTTTTAACCTTACAATTAAAGCATTTATTTTAATAAAAAAAAAAAAATTTAAAAGACATTAGATTTTGAGAAGTTTCATTTTTGCCCCGGTACACCCCATCTTCCCTACCACATCATTCCTCTTTTTTCTCTCTAAACATCAATCGAATCATGCGTTTCCAATGAGAGGAAGAAGTTGGGACAACGCCGAGCCAAGTCACCGGAAAATCATCCATCAGCGCCGAGCCCCCTCTTGCTCAAGACGGAGAGAACTAAAAAAATATCGGGATTCCCAGGACAATAAGATTCAAGAAGGAAAGAAAAATTACGAGCATAAAAAAGGTTCGCTGCCATTACATAATTACTAAGCATAACCCAATAAGATTTGAACTAAGTTGGGTTGGGAATCAATCAAAGATTGGGTAAAGATCGAAAAAAAAAAAAGCATCTGAGTGCCCAGTATATATTTTAGATCCTATATTAGACGAAATTTCTATATAATTTTCTAAATTGGGGTATTAGTTCAAGAAATCTATAACCAAGATAGGTCTAAACTATGAAGTCAGGATATTTATAATCCAGAGAAACATTACAAAACATTGTAAGGACATGAAAGAGTGTGTGACAATTACAATCATATTGGTACATTACCAAAAGTGGTTTCACTTTATTGCTCTACAAATGCCCAACAAAATGCCACTCAATGTCCTCAGGAAGCTGCCACATATTCAACAATTTCAAAATCAAGTCTTCTGCTGCACACCATATTGCAAGAACCAGGGGTTTCAATCAAAGCAATATAAAATCAAAAAATTCAAGGAAGAGAGAACCTGAGGTGCTTTATCTATGATTTCTTGGACGTAGTATTCGCCGAAACAGCGATGACCGGTTGACGGATGAGAGAGTTAGGCTTGGTCTGGCTCACTGCCACCACCCTCACCTCGTCGGGCCGGCGACCGGACCTCTCCGCCGCCTGCCAAACACGGTGGAGCACCGCCCGAAAAGCCGAGACGGCTACACTCTTGTTGAGTCATTCGGCTCCATCTTTGACTCGAGAGGGGATATCCATTCTTGTCACAACATCGTTGGCCTTCAGCAATACTGCTGATCTGACCTTTTGATTTCTGTTATGGTGCCTAAAACCAACAATTCCTGTGAGTAGTTTGGGCTCAATAATGGTATCGAAAGGTCGAGGTTCGGATTTGGGTCTGTGATTGGTTTTGTTGCAGATAATTTTATGATTTTTGCAATTTGGTGATGGACTCTTAGAGGCAAAATTGTAACTTTAATAATACATAAAAAAAATATTATATTTTTTTATTAAACAAATAGTTTAATTTTAAGGACAAAAATGTAAATTCATATCAATTTACTAACCACAAACAGTTAATTTCACTACAACAAAAGTGACCTTTAGCAACATTTTTTTTCGTCACAAAAAGCTAAATTTTCGTTACTAGAAGTTTTTAGTGACGAAAAATCATTCGTCAATGTTTCGTTGCTATATAACCGTCTCGGTTGATCTATCGTGACGAATGAGAATTTCGTCACTATTGTCTCTACTTTTAGTGACTAAAAAATTTGCGTCACTATTACATGACTTTTAGTGATCATACTTTTTCGTCACATCTGCTTGCCTTTTAGTGACAAAAATGCGACAAACATTTTCGTTACTATTGCATATCTTTAAGCAACCATATTTTTCATCACATCTGTTTTCCATTTAGCAACGAAAGTTTTCGTCACTAACTCACCTAATGACAAATATCTTTCGTTGCTAAAAACCAATTTTGCTTGCTTGTTTTGCTAATATTAAAAAAAATTCAAATAGAAACACAGGTCCACACATTTCAAACTTTATATAGGAACACAAATTTAAACATAACATTAAATTTTATTATGAAATACATAATAATTCTGAGTTCAAATACAAAATTAACATAAATTTGAATAACCAAATTTCCAATTGTATAATACAAAAGACCAAACTAAAACATAAAAGCAAACTCCCAACTCTCTCCCAACTCTCCCTCTATGGAGGAACGCCCAAAGTTCCCTTATCACTAGTCTTCTAGAATCTTAAAATTCTTCAAACTATGTTTATGGCTTTTTGTACTTCGCCTTTGAATATAGTAATTCCGCACGAAGCCACTCTAGCAGCTGCAACAAAAATGAAAATACACAACTTAGCAAAGGGCCAAGAAGGAAATAAAACAAGAGTGATGCAGTAGTGGCTTAAGTTGATCCAACAAAGGCAAAACAATAAAACAAAAAAACAAAGAGTGATTTAGTTTTATGCACTTCACCCTTGAATACAGAAATATTCTAGCAAGAGCCACTCCACTCCAGTAGTTGCAACAAAACACAGGAAAAAGTTCTGTAATGGAACAATAGGGCTCTATGAAAGTCAAACTATAAAATTTAAATAATATTCTCCTAATCATAAACTTGATTAAAAGTAATTCCTCCAAGCAATGCACATTATCAACATAAAAAAAGGATAAAATAATAAAACTACATTGAATTATTTACTTTCATCTTTGACTAAGACCTCATTGTAAGAGCTACCCACATTGAATATCTAACCTTTAGTTCTCTTTCAAACAACTCAATTACTATTTCTGCAAAGCAAACAAGAAACTAGAATAAGAGAAAGGATATTTCACGTGCAATAAGATAAAAAAGAGAGTAGTAAAGAATATATATGTATATACATTGACACCATAACCTAATTTTAAATAAAAGTACTAATATAAAAGTTAGAAAAAGAAAGTAGCAATAAACATTAACAAGAACATAGTTATTGAAACTAAATAAATAAAAAGCATTCCTGAATGGGATTTCTCAGTACCATAGAACTTATGTTGGAAAGTATTAAATCTTGGGTAAGGAAAAAAAATAAATCTTCTCATAAAGACATACATAAAACACTGCAACAACAAGCTTCTTTATCAATTAAAACTATTCCCAAGATGAAGGTAATCATGAATAAAAGTGTGGAAGATAGACTGTGAACAACAACACCTGAATCTTATTTGAGTCACTTACAAAGGTAATCATGAGCAAGGTAGACAAAGCAGAGCTAACAGAGGGAAGCCTGCACTGATTGCAAAGACGTTAGTTATCAAATTTATACATACAAATTGCATAAAGAACATATTAATGACAAAAAATAAAATAAAATAAAAAGAATTTGAAAAACTTTACTTGCCTGTGTTTCGGAAACCAAGTCTAACATAGCCAACTTTGCAAAGAATCATCATTTTAGCTGGAAAAAAAAAAAAAAAAACACGAAGAAGAAGAAGAAGAAGCTATGCATATAAAAATAATTGTGTGATTGGACTAAAATTAATATGAAATCTAGAGATAACAGTAGTAAAATATAAGTGAAAAAAGCCTACTCAGTTCACCACACAAATAGGCACATTAGACAAGATACAAGCCTATTAAGTGCATAACCAATAACTTAAGTTATCTTGAGCACAAAACTGCACATGTACGGTCACTGCGTGGCACTAGAACTAATCATTATGTGAATCTCATTCAGAAAATCACATGAAATTGTGGGCAAAACTCTAACTAATCTGCCTTATTAGAAAAGAAAAAAAAAAAAAAAAAAAAAAAAAAGAAGAAGAAAGAAGAAGTAATTTGACCTTACAAGATTGCTACATTGAGATTTCTCGTTAAGCATTCTTGATACTGAATACCAAACTGAAAACAATAGGATTTCATTGTGAAGGATGATTATTTAACAAAAAAAAAAAAAAATTTGAATGGTATGTGATGCCCAAATTACGAGTTTAAAAGCTAATTAAAAAAAAAAACCCTAGCATGTAAAGTCCCACAGTAATATGTTTAGTTTGAAGATTATAACTGACAGATATTTGAGGAATTTCTGAAGTGATTTAAGGGCTAAGAACTTGTGATCAAACCATGGCCAAGAATTATTGATCGCCTCTAATAAGGTATGAAATCAGAAGAAAAAAAAATCTGAACAACCAATTTCAAGATAATCACTGTATTTATTTACTTATTGAAAAAAATTACAGTAATAATCACTCTATCTATGTGAATATCGTACTATATAAAAATAAATAAATATATAAAAACTAGAACTTTAGAAAAGATTATTTGGGAACTTTCAAACCTGGGCTGTTATGAAATGATGGTCGGACCCAATCACATGTAGAATTTCAGTTATGCAATTCTCTCAACATATATTAGATAGAGATTGAAGGCAATCAAGATCGAAAAATTAATACAAGAAAATAAATATTGAAAAGAGAATATGAAGGGAGTAGTTGAGTGGGATTCCATAAAAAGATTGTGGAATTTATAAGATTTGAGGGTAACCGATTGGCGACCTAGTGTTCTACTCTCTCTATCTCTTTAAGAGCAGCTGATTGGTGACGAGGAGACTCCAGGATAATAAATTGTTTATTGAGAGAAAGCTAGGGTTTGAGTGGGAAAAAAAAAAAAAAAAAAAAAGGTGATGCAGATACTATGAGAGCGAATGACGGGATGATAGAGTTTGATTGAAATTAGAACAGAGAATAGTGCCATAGTAGGAAAAGTGAGGGGAGATAGTTGGGGAAAAACGAAATTGGTTTTTTTACCTAGGGAGATTTTAGTCACAAATAAGTATAAAAAGAAATCGAAACGACGTTGTATAGACCTTCCTATCACCAATTGGTGACAAATTATCTAATTCGTCACAAAAAAGATACATAAATAGTCACGAGCTTGAATTTCATCCCTGAAAGTCTATTTTTAGGGACGAAAGAAATTTTATAGCTAAAATATCGTCACTAAAAGTCACTTTTGTTGTAGTGAATTTGGACCTTTTCTGTTATATTGTGGCCATCTTTTATTCATAAGTACAAGTTGAAAGTCTTAGGGATCCTTTGTGTAATTTGCGCTAAAATAAATGACAAACTCCAAGACTTTTACTCTTTTCCACTAAACTCCTAACTATTTTTATTCCAAAAAAATTCCCCTCAACTTTCAGAGAGGGGGTGACAGAATCAACTGGACATTAACTGAGAATGTAAAAGTGGACATAATTGTTTTTCAAATTATTTTGAGACAATAATATCTTATACCAATTCAAATAACGTTCTACATGGAATAGATCTTTTATACAATGTATAAAAAAATGAACCCTAACTTTTGCAACAAATCACAAACACCCAACACAACTTAATGCATAAAAAAAATAAAAAATAAAAAAACCACACACACACCTTAGTACACAAAAGTCAAAACCCATTAGACCAATTGGTAGTGTTTGAAGCACTTACATAGACTAAAACTATAATTCTAATACAATGCATTAAACAAGCTTATATAGATACATATTGAATACGAAATTAAAAAACAGCTATATGGGTGTGATTTATTATTATTATTATTTTTTTTTCAGAAGCAAAAGAGGGGTGTGATTTGCTCACATTGGTTTGGTTTTCTATTAAATTGAATGAGGCCGAAGAAAAAGGAGTAGCAATAAAATAAATAAATAAATAAATAATTTATATTTTGTTTCTATCAACTAAATGAAGACATACCGGAAACAAAAAATTGAATTTGTGAGTATCCTATATATAGTATTAATATACATATGTAACTATAGAGGAATGAAAAAAAAAAAAAAAAAACAATCAGACTTTTTTTCCTTTTGAAAACTGATACTTCCATCAACATTGATACCAAATAGATCACCAAATGAAAATAAATAAATAAATAAGTATACACCTAAAAAAAAAAAAAAAAAACTTTCCAGATCAATCATACAGAAAAAAATCCTAGAAAAATATTAATCAAGAGAGAGCAAAACACATTGAGAATAAAGTCTAGAGATAATTTATCTGGAAGTTGCGAACATAGATCAGTCCACATTTTTTTTAGTTATATGAGATGATTATGAACCCCAATTAGAGAGAGGAATGATGAAAGAGAGCAAACTCAGAATTTTTTTCCACCAACAAGCTCAGAATTGGAAAGGAGAAAAAATGGCTTTTTTGCCTAATGGATACTTTAGTCATTTTACATCATTAGTTAAGGTTGAGTTGAATTTGTTACCCCCTCTATAGTTGAGGAGGATTTTTGGAACAAAAATAGTCAAGGGGGTTTAATGAAAAAGGGTGAAAGTCAGAGGGGGGTTTTTGGACTTTGCCCTAAAATAAATTAATGTTTCATTTACAATCAAAACCTCATGTTACACACATCGACTTAAGAAATATGTTTATATAGCATCTTTAGATTTTAAGTAATTGAAATTTTATTGGGATTATGTTCGGCTATATGAAAATGGAGTTTTAAAATTAAAATTAATAAAATTGGAGTTGGGAGAAAAGTAATATAAAAAATTGAACTAAATTTTTTTTTTTTCAATTTTAATTTTAAAACTTCAATTCTATACTATCCAAAATATTTAAATAGTATTATTGACTATGTAACACTATCTTTGAATGACAGTCCACCAACAACTTTTCTAAAGCAATTTGCTTATGCGGACAAAGCACCTGAAGCAGAACAACTAATCTTACAAAACGTGTAATATATTCTTCAGCACACAATAAACATACATAATGTGTGTATCCAAGTCCATTGTATATATTTGTTCAACATACGTAATTACATATATACATGATGTCGGATCTCTTTCTGTTTCGGTTTCAGTGGTCAGTAAAAGTAATAATCTAATTACATTGCATTAGATTAGTGTTTATGCTAATATTTAAGAGTACCGAGGTTTTGAATTTTAAATTAAAAAAAAAAAAAATTAATTTAAATTTTATATTAATTTTTTCTTTTTTTTTTAATTTCGAATCTTAAGTATCAATTAAGTACTCCTAAAAACAACATAAATACGAAATAAATTTAAAATCTTTGGTGTTTGTGCATGTGTTTGGTGCATGGAATATCATCTTTCTGTGGGTCACTACCTGATTGAGTGGAACAAAGAGGTCACCAATAGTGAATAAATCATAACCGTAAATAATTCCATTTAGGGACAGACCCAATATAATTGCCCCCACTGATTTTTTTTTTTTTTTTTTTTTTTAGTATTATACCCTACCATTTTGTTTTTCTTTCATTTTTTGATATATATATACACACGTATAAAATCCCACTATTGTTTCAACTGAAATTACTAACAAATATCATTATTGTCTCCCACAAAATTTTCTAGATCCGTCGATGGTTCCATTGCTTAGGATTAATATTGGTACCACAATAAATAAATGGCTTGATCAAGTCTACTCCAAGTCACAAACTAATAAAAATGAATACAAAATTTAATTATATCGACAATATATTAAACTTATCGGTTATCAATAATTCATAATTTTAGCAAAAATTGTACTACGTTAACTTAATGTTAGTATATGATCCACCTCTCCAAGTGAAAGGTAGAAGATTCAAGGCCGATTTTAACAATCTGTCATGTTCAATCCTCTATTGTATTTAACACAACAAACCATATACAATGCATACCATTGCCAAAAATGCCTTGATCTCAATCCTGTGGATGACCAGTTAAGAGTGAATGAGAAGGAGCTTGCTGCTAAATTTTCAGAGTTATGTCTTGCAGAATAGATGTTCTACAAACAAAAGGCACAAATCCACTGGCTTAAGGAAGGGGATCAGAATACAGCCTACTTCATGAAGTGTTTATCTTCTAAAGCCAACAAGAGGAAGGTCCAAGCATTTGAAGATTCACTTGGGAATGTGATTCAAGGTCAGGATATTCACAATGCATTGCTTAACCACTTTCAAGGATTGTTGGGGCAAAGCTACTTGGAGTATCCAGGTATGAACTCTTTCTCCAACCTCATCTCCAAGTCAGCACCCCTCCACCTCCTATCCATTCTCATGTCCATTCCTACTGACTTGGAAATTCAAAATTGCATACTGTCCTTCCACCCCTACAAGAGTCCAGGGCCTGATGGATACAATGCATGCTTCTTTAAGCATGCTTGGACTATTATTGGAAGTGATATCATTGCTGCTGTCAAAGATTTCTTCACAACAGGGAGAATACTTACAGAAATAAATTGTTCCTACATAGCTCTGGTGCCCAAAAAGCCTAACCCCTCCACTGTGAATGATTTCAGGCTAATATCATGTTGTAATCTACTTTACAAATGTATTTCAAAGTTGTTAGCACATAAATTGAGCCAGGTGTTACCTTCCCTAGTTAGC